AGAGAGAGAGAGAGAGAGAGAGAGAGAGAGAGAGAGAGAGAGAGAGAGAGAGAGAGAGAGGATAATTGGTGGAAAGTGCCCATGCCAAAACCTATTTGGTTTTCGGCGCCCGAAACTCGGCCGTTTGGTACTACCGGCCCAATGACTTCCATGTGGGGTACTACAGGCCCACGCGTCCCTCCAAGGGCCCTACCCGTCCCTCCAAGGGCCCTACCAGATTATGAATCTGGCTTCCAGATTCATTTTGATGTAACCGAGGCTGAAGTATAGAATGAGGCCCACGTATGTGACGCGCAACCTACGCTCTGTGCTGTTTTCCGTTTGAACTGTTAGATGTGCGGAAGGAGGCCCAGAAAAACAGCAAGATGGGGTGTACCAAGGATTTTTGGGAAATCGAGTGTGGGGACATAGACAGAGCTGAAGTCCCCCGTGTTGGCCCGATGAAGCAAGTCGATTGCTTTCGCGCGTCGCGAAATGCGCGCGCGTGCACGACGCGAAAAGAGAAAAATCCAAATTCAATCCAAAAAGTATTGTCGGGCTTTCCACCGCGCTACGGCCCGTCGTTTAGAGCGGAATGGCTTTGGTACGCTCCGCGTGTCCCGTTTCCGTATCAAATCTCGACGTCGTTCGTTGGCCAGTTCTGAGTCTGACGTGGATGGTCTCAGCCGCGTGGCTCTTTCCTTATACTCGTCTTCACTCCGTATTCGGTGGTGGAAGCCCTTCGCTTCGTAGTGATCGAAGCGTTGGCACTCCGTGCACAGGGTTCGAGGCCAATAGGGTGCCACTGCCGTCCACGGAATGACGATCAATTCGTTAAATGGCAACAATATCGAGTAGGGTGGAAAGTGCGTATCAATAATGACAAACCCAGCGTCTACGAATCCTGAACAATGGTTGGCTGGAGGGAAGTAATATTGCCCGCCGATCTGTGCGACGGCTTCTCGTACGTCCCACTCACATACACGGGTCCTTTCCTCGCTGTAGGGAAAAGGTCGTGTTGCGATGGGAGATACGGGAGGCTGGCCCCCTATCGAAGGGTGCTTGTCAGTCCACATCTCAATCAGCCACAAATATCCAGAGATGTCATCAAGAACAGAAACCACTCGCCCAACCCCCAATCAATCCTTTTTGATACAAAAGAGAGAAAACACACATCTGCTTGGTCATGCGTATGGCTAACGGACCGACCCGCGACTCAGTTTCGGCGCCTTGTTCCTCAAGGTCGCCCGGTGGCTTGGCTGCTGATGTCGTGCAACATAAGGCAGAGGGCATGCGCAGTGCATCTGAAACTACAGATCTAAATGCTCTTGCATTCTCGGGCAAAATCCAGACGACAATCGTCTAATCAACGCAAAAGAGACGCGCATCCCCATTCATTCATTCACTGTGGAAGGTGCGAAAAATGAGCCATGCACAGGAAAAAGATGCATCGCTTGCATAGTACACACGCATCCACCGTTCACAAGACAAGAAGACGAGGTCCTTGCGTAGGAGGATTACCCAGGAAACTAATGGAAGAGTTCTGGAAGAAGTTCTTTCACACAGAAACAGGATACCGACTCATTCTCATTCAAGAGAGAGACAATCATAATTCAAAAAGAGAGAAGGAGAGAAGGAGAGAAGGAGAGAGAGAAAGAGAGAGAGAGAGTCGAGGGAGGAAAATCAAAATAGAAGATGACAAGGTTCGGAGAGGGAAAAGTTCGGCGTTGCCGCCGTACACTCACACCAAAAAGAAGGATACGCAACAACAAAGGCGCATTCGCCGTTAATCCCAATATGGCCCCGGGCCAATCACCCACTCAACTCCGATCATCAATCCTCGTACCCGCACCGACAATCCCGGTCGTCGCACGCTAACTCCCACCACTGCGATCGTCACCCCGCTGTCATAAACTCGACACGGTTCGCCCAGACCCCACAGTCTGTCGTGGCGATCCGGCACGCAACCGGCCAGCCTATCGTCATCCCGACAGGACTTTCCGACTCGCCTCAAAACACTCTGCCTAGCCACTGCTTCCCGGAAGCTAGCTTAGGAGTCGAGAACGTAAAAGAGATTTGCGGACGCGCTTGCGGGTTTTATAGTTGTGACAAAGGAGATAGAAAGGGGAGAAAGCGAAGGAAAAACTGAGGGGTGAAAGGAGAAGCAGGAGGAGAAGACTTTGAGAAGAGTGCTCTGCGAGCGCCATGTTGATCCTTCTGAACTCGAGGTTCAACCAATCAGATTTGCCGCGCAATAGGAAGGTCCTATTGATCCGCGCACCTGATTGGCGAGCGGGAGTTATCGATGGATCGACCGGGCGTCGTGCACCAGACTCATAGGGTGAGAAGAGAAAAGGCGCGAGAAGTAGCGCAAGACAGGTCCAAGATTCAAATGATCAAGAAAGGGAAATGGGCTCGCAAAAAACAAGGCGTGAGGGAGAGAGAGAGAGAACAGTTACGGGGAGAGAGAACAGTTACGGGGAGAGAGAAAAAGGAGGGAGAAGGGAAAGGAGGCGCGGGAGGGAGCGATGCGGGGGACAGAGAGGAGAAAGCTTGCATACGCGGCGGCGTCAACAAAAAGAGAGAAAAAGGAACCGAAACAGTTACAGCTTGCTTCTATCCTAATTCAAAATTGAAATCACCATATCCGCGCGCGAAAAAGCGACGCGGGAAAAGAAAATCCTACGCCTATTCGTATTCACGCAAAATTCCGAGAGTTTCCCCGACGCGCACAAGAACATTCACACACTCGAAAAGGACACGTTGAAGTTCCGCTCATCCCGGAATTCCCAACTGCCGAGCCCAATTCCCCAGTGCGCTTGCTAAGGTGCACGCAAATTTCCATGTGTTTCCCGATGTTGCAAAAAGAAAAAACAGAACCCAGAAGTCGAAAAAGTTTTCAGAAAAATGGAAAATGCGGCATACGAAAACAAGAAATCGAAACGGGGTTTTTCTGGGGTTGGTATGATACATGCAAAAGAAGGGGTACGAAAGATGGCACGGGTTCGGGAAGTGGTTCGTCACATATGTGACGCGCAGGGGGTTCCAAAATTATGCGATTTCCTGATTGCATGTCATGGCGGAGGAGGAAAGAGAAGGGGGAGAAGAGACTGATGCATGAGGAACCAAACATATCAATCAGAACACAAGGAGAGGTAACGAAGCCGCGGATGAGATAGCGACAACATCCGTGGCAAGATCTCCGCAACCCTGGTCCACCTGATCTCCGTGTGTTCTGCACCCCAGCTCGTTGCTGGCCGTCGAATCAGAGCATAGGTTGACATCATCGTCGATGGCGTGATCTTTGCAAAGCTTACTGATTCATGCCGATGAGGAGAGGAGGGGGGGGGGTTATGTGATTGGGGGCCTACCACTAGCTGGAATAGGCCAGTAGAGGCGGTACATGGAGGGGATCTCGCGGGGGCGACGGGGAGGAAGTGGGGGCAGGAAGCGATTTATCCTTTCCATCGTCACCGGGAGCTCCTCATATCGGATGATCCGGGGGAAGTGGGGGAAATGATCGCCGCTGCGGGGAAGGGANGGGGGGGGGGGGGGGGGGGGGGGGTCACGTGAATGGGGCCTACCACCTAGTTGGGATGGGCCAGTAGCGAGGTACATGGAGGGGATCTCGCGGGGGCGACGGGGAGGAAGTGGGGGTAGGAAGCGATTTATCCTTTCCATCGTCACCGGGAGCTCCTCATATCGGATGATCCGGGGGAAGTGGGGGAAATGATCGCCGCTGCGGGGAAGGGAAGCGAGGTAGTCGCGAAAGAAGGAGGAGAGGGTGCGGAAAAGCGCCGCTCGAAAGAACTGGAAGTGGCAGCAAGCGGGGATTGTCCCCGTAGCGACGCAGTAGATTTCTACCACGTTGCATTGCTCCCATGCAGCGCTGAACAGCAGGAGATGCCAGCAGAACGTGGGGGCAGCGGATTGAAGGGAGGCGTGGGGGTGGACGGTGGCGAGTAGATGGGTAGAATAGAAGTCGCGGAAGAGATGGGGAAGGAAGGGATGAAAAGGGAAGGTGACGGGGGTACGGATCTGCTCGAGGGTGAGGAAATCAAGGGGTCGACGGGACAGCGTCCAAGGACGAAGGCCTATCGCCCGCATCGATACGTGGGCGAACTGGGGGACGGGTGGGGATGGAGGAAGAGGGGGATCGGCTCCGTTTCCGTTGCGCCGTACTTGAGGCGGCGGCTGCAGGGTCGCCATCTTCGGGCTTCGGCGGCTCTGGGTCCCTGGTCAGATCGCTACCGATGCGCAGGCTAGCTTCACTGGCGAACTCCAGCTGGCGCTTCCCGGTGGCAATTTCCTCGCGCTTTCGCGCCGCTTCCGGATCTACCGCCTCCGTTCCCATACGCGTCGCTTCCTCCGGCACGGCTTCCCACTCGGATCCGGTTTTTTCTTCCTCCTCTTCTCCTTCGCTCAGCTCGCCCTCGCTATGTTCACTATAGCTTCCGTCCTCCGATGTTTCCTCGTCGTCGTCCTCTTCTTCGTCGTCGTCGTCGTCGATCACCACTTCCTCTGCCCTCGGATAGAAGGCGTGAGGGATGATCTCGTACGGCTTCAGATACTCCTGCCATGATGGTAGCGTATCCTCGTCCCTAGGTTCCTCCAAGCACGCAGTCCACTGAAGTTACGGATCCAATGATCGCTCGAAAATGTATGGAGCAGGACTGTCGTCACTCTGTAAATAGATGTCGGGCGAGAGATCGTCCGCCAATTGCACGATCGGTGTGATGAGCTCCTGCGCAATCAGCTGGCGGCGCCCCGGCTGTACCGATCCAAAGAGAAAGCCAAGAAGATCGCCCTTTGCGTTAGTCCTCCAAGCTTGGATGATTAGAAGCTCCGGATTTTCGATCCACGCAGGATGCCCGCTGGTCTGTGTCCACGTCACTTGTACTCTGGCCAAGCAGAAAGACAGCTCCTCAAAAGTTTCGCGCCACAGTCGCCAATGTCCAGGATTGATGAGAGGGACTAAAAGAGGCTCGAACGAGAAGGAAAGAGAAGGATGAAGATCGGACTACCAGAAGGTGGGGAAGAGAGAGGGGAGACCAAAGATAGCGAGAGGAGCGAGAAGATCGGCGTGGTTAATTGGAGATGTGGGAAGGGGACGAGGGTTGGGATCGCAACTGGCCGCTCGCGCTGTGATCGGCGAATATCGCCAAGATCCGATGCAAAGATCGGGATGAGGTTATACCCCTCTCGGGCGAGGACGTGCTGCCACACGTTGGACACTTGCTCCGTCCACTCGCGTAGCGAGGTCAAGATCGCGGTATGCCACAGCGGATTGACTGAGCTGATGTCGCCGGTGAATGCCGCCACCGTGGTGACGTGGCTCGTTCTGGGACCCACCCGCCGATGAACTGCGGTCACCTCCGCGAATACTACTGCGTGAGGACTTCCTTCGATTCGAAACGCGGTGGCGGCGCAGATACCTTCATCGCAGAAGAATCGCATCAAGCGCCGAAGATCCGCATTGAGCCGAGGGTGACAAACTTGCCGAATCTCTGAGATATGACCACGTGGCTGCAACAGCTGAGCGTCAAGAACCCTCTCCATGATAAAACTCATGGCGAGGTCGGAGAGGAGGACGAAGGACAAGAGGGAGAAAGAGGAGAGAGAGTTAGATCGTTGTCGTTCTCCTCGCTTTCCGAGGAAGAAGAGGGAGGAAGGAGACGGAGGTAGGAGGTATGTCGGACGATGGGGACAGAGCTATGGCTAGCACTAGCCTCAGGCGCGATGCGCACCGTGTTGGCGTCGTTGGGTCCGAGCTTGACAACGCGAAAACAGCCAGAGAACTTGGGAGCGAGTTTTCGGTCGCGTGCACATTTACGTACCTGCACCAGGTCCCCTAATTTATATTGATGCTGGGGCCCAGCATTTCCATTCCGAGCCTCGTAGCTACGGACCTGTCTACCGTGGGCCAGTTCGGTCATCCTTTGCCTTTTTCGGGCTAGCTTCGGGACGGCCCGTTCCATTAACTCGGTGTACCTTTTGGCCTTGGTCTTTAAAGCTGCACGCGTGTCTCTACCCCCTGCTTCGGCAATTTTCGAGTTACCCCGGTAATCGACACAGGGGAGACTATTAGTTCGAAGCTGAAAAGGGGTAAACCCCATGGACTCATGGGGAGTGGCCCGGTGGATCCCGACGATCTGATATACGATCTCGGGCCAAGGACGCGTGTCGTGTGCCGCTAAGTTCATGCGAAGTGCGGTTTTAATCATACGGTTGGCATTCTCGGCCAACCCGTTCGACTGGGACACGTGGGGAGCCGTATGTCGGAGTGTGACGCCCCTTTGCGCAAGCAGTTCTTCTACCTCACCTTTGAATTCGGACCCATTGTCGGTTAGAATTTCTTTCGTATCTAGATGGGTATAGAGGAATCGTTCGATGTACGTGGCTATTTCTGCGGCCTTTCGGGTCTGACAGGGATAGACTTCGATGTATTTGGAAAAATGGTCAATTAATACTAACAGGATAGAATATTCACAACGGTTTGGGCCAGCTGGCACGTCAATATCTGTCGTGTCTATACTGACTCGCTGGAAAGGACGCTCTACTTCCGTTGGTACGATCGTGTTTGGTCCCCGTATAGGGGCGCGACCAGCGGCACAGACCAGACAGTTAGCGACAATGTACTTGACGTCATCTCGTATATTGGTCCAGAACCATCGGTTCTGGTCTACAGTTGCCTCCGTGACACGTATCGCGAAATGAGCGGCCTGTTCTTCGTGAGCAGATTGGATCCAATCGTATCTCTGGAATGGATGGGGAACCGTCAACCACGAACCCGACCCGTCAGTTTTACGCTTTTCCAAATGACCGTTGATCCATCGATAGTCCCGAGATCTCTCGGTCGCCCTACGTCTGTCATGTTTGGTGAGGTGGTCCAATGATAATCCCGCTAATTTTGCCAATAAAATTTTATCCGTCCAAACCTCCGCTCGTCGGTATTTTTCGTCGTATTCAGGACCGTCCGTACGGACGGCCTCGAATAGAACCTCCGTGGGGAGCTTGTTCGTTCTACTTACGGGGCACCTTCATTCCTTGCTACTTGTCCGATATCGAACGCAGGCCCCGTGCGCACGATTGACACACGTGGCACATTTCACCCAATCAACAAATCCGGATGACAATCGACCCCATAAACCCGTGCAATACACGTGCAAAAATAACAGATTTATCGGGGAGGGTGGCGAAGAAAGCCGAGGAAGTGAGAGGGGCAGAATTAGTAGGAGCTGAAGGGGTTGTGGAGACAGACAGGGTAGTCATGATGATAGAGGAGGAGAGATGGAACTGACTTGCGGAGGGAGTAGAACAGACAAATTAGTCCTCGTGCCACTTACTGCTTCGACAAAATCTCCACTTGGCCGTACCGGGGTCCAACCTCCTGTTCAAGTTCGTTCCACAGAATCACCTCCTCATTCTTCGGAACTTTCTTAGGCCGATGCAGCTGTGTCAGTCCGTCTGCATTCCCGTGTCTCTCGTGCTTTCGATGACGAATGTCAAAGTCCATGCTCTGCAGCACCGTGGCCCATCGCCCGATCATGCTCGAGTAATCCTTTGACTTCTTCAGAGCCAACAGGGGCTCATGATCAGTCACTAGGGTGAATTTTTGCCCGTACAGGTAAACACGAAAGTGACTGATTCCCCAAAGAGCCGCATAGCATTCACCCGTTGGAGTGGCGTAGTTGCGCTTGCAGGCGGGCACTGATTTGGACGCATACTCCACCACACTCTCGAGTCCGCTTGGTCCCACCTGGGCAAGGATCGCCGAAATCGCCTCTGGCTGCCAGTCAGTGATGAGAACAAAAGGTTTTTCGGGATCTGGTCTTATAAGGACCGGAGCCGAAATGAGAGCGGCCTTGAGTGTGGAAAACGCTTGATCGCATTCCGGCGTCCAGATCAACAGCTGATCTTTACGTAGCAGATTTGTGAGGGGTCCCGCAATCACCGCCAAGCCCTTGATAAATCTTCGAGAGTACGAGGCTAGGCCCAGAAAGGCGCGAACTTGCGTGATAGTCATAGGCACCGGCGCGTCCCTGACAGCTGCCACCTTCTACGGCTCTGGTTGGAGTCCCTTGTCTGTCACCACGTGCCCTAGGAAGGAAATGGTGGTGAGGAAAAACTGACACTTCTCAAGCGCCACCTTGAAGCCCGCATCTCGTAAAAGCCATGTTCATGGCCCGCTGAAAGGTCGCGGGGGTATTGCAGATACCCATCGGACATCGAATCCACTGCCATGTACCTTCGAAAAGCACAAACGCTGTTTTTGGACGATCTTCCTCTCGAACAAGAAGATGATGGAACCCATGACGAACATCAAACTTGCTGAAAAATCGAACACTCCCAATCGCATCCAATAACTCATCAATCCGAGGGAGGGGGTACACATCTTTAATCGTGATTTCATCCAGTTTTCGGTAATCAATACAAATGCGAATCCCTCCGGCCTTTTAAGGCGCGATCACTACTGGAAAAGACCACGGACCTATAGCGGGTTCGATCCATCCATTAGCTTCGAACTCCTTAATCCGCTGAAAAGCGACCACTCTCTGAGCTGGCGAGTATCGGTAGGTTGCGCAGCTAATGGGCGGATGATCTCCCGTGAGAATGGCATGCTCGATCACATTAGTTAAGCCGATGTCGTTATCGTGTATGCTCAATACTTTTGCGTAGCCATTGAACACACGAATTAACGATTTCCGAAGTTCCGCGGGAACGTGACCTGGCAGGGTGATTGTCGATTCCCCGAAAATCTTAAGGGGCATATCAACCCAATCAAACGGCCGTTCCTGCCGGTCATGGACACTAGAAAAAGCGAAACTACTGGTGCGAACAGAGAAGACAGTTGTTATCATCTGGGACTCTGCGGGGCTGATCATCTCTGTTTCTTTGGCCTCCGCATCAGTCTCTAAACCGACCGAGGTTGGTTCCACTGTTAGCCCCGTTAGGTCGGTCATTTCTTGCAGTAGGTCAGGTACATCACTTACCGGTGCTTCCGCCTCCCGTTTAATCAAGGCGATGGTGGCTCCTGTCGTTAGCAACGATCTGGGCGAGAAAACAGAAACATCCAAAAACCGTTCTGTTTGTTGGTAGCGCGATCGTAAGGAGAGAGCTCCTTCGTATAGGGTGCGAGGGGGTTCCAAATCATCAGCTAGGTCAGATACTTGCAATATGGGTTCCCCGAGGAGGACTGAAGGACTGACCTGGGTTGTCAGAGGCGTGCACGTGCTGTCTTTGACATCCACGTGAAAGCTTCGGGTGGTGTCAGGGCATACTTGAAATTCTTCGGGAATTTCTCGTTCGAAAAGTTCGACCAGATGCTTCCATTCCTCTTCGCTGGGCATTTCTTCTTCATATCCTTGTTCCTTGATTCCATTACTGATGCTCGAGGGAGAGCACTCCTCGGAATCAATATATCGAATCATCCCGACTTGGGCCGAGTTAGGGACCTGTTTTATCGTTCGGGTGGAAACTCACAACGGAACAGTTTGAGGCTTTCCCCCAGTTTGCGTGAGCACCAGTTGTTTCGAATCAAAATGCAGACGTGCGTCTACCGCCATCGTCCAAGGTAATCCCAACAACACAGAATAGGAACGTACATCTATTATGAGCGCATTAACAAGGACGTATACTCGCCTGACTTTTACAGCCACGTTTTCGATAATGCCTACGATGTTCATTGCTTCCTCGTCGGCAGAGACATAGTTGTCTTTGCCGGATTGAGGAAGAATGAATCCAAATCGTCGTGTTTTTTTTATAGTATCTAACGATATGGCCACTGCAGAAGACCCCGTGTCAATAAGGGCATTAAACGGCTTGCCCCAAACTTCACATCACATTCCGCACTTTTCCATAGTACCGGCCGAGCTCGTACGAAGTGATCTTTTTCTGCTAAAGAGATCGCTGCTATACGTGCGGCTTCAGGTTCGGGTTCTTTTGTGTCAGGCTCGGAGGATGCAACTTCCTCGCTTCCTTCCTTCTTCTTCAACATCCGTTGTATGCGCTGATAGGTAAAGCGCTTTTGATTCTTCCGACAATGTTGTAAAAGTTTATCGTTCGCCGCTTCAGATATGGTGAGCAGATGTCCTACTGGGATAGGAACGCGAATATCTAGTTGCTTGAGCGTTTTCAATACATCAATGTCCCCTGTCCGAAACTGCGGTCCAGGATTGGATTCACGATCGACCCATTCGAGATTATCTGGGGCCGATCGGATTGCTCTGATCATGCCTGCAAGATGGAGATACTCGAGAGGATCGACCACGTCAGCAGCGTCAGAGGAGGAAGCTCCCGAGGTCGACGCCGTTGCCATCGAAGAGAAAGGCTGCTCTGGGGCATATGCCACGAGTTCTCCTCCTTGGTCCGTATCCATCAAAGCGGCCACTCGTCCTTGATTCAGGGTCACGGGGGCCGCCGCAGGTGGGGGCTGACTACGCTTTGGCTGCGGGCAGTCTCGGGCGAAATGTCCGGGCTGTTTGCAGTTAAAACACTCGATCTTTCCGGCTGGATTGGCTAGGTGAGGGAACTGAGGTGCGTACTCTGGAGCAGGTGGGGCAGGTAAGAGCGGAAATGATGCGGGGGTCGGCCGAGCAGGGGCCGGCCGGGCAGGGGCCGGGTTAGGCTTGATTAGCCTACTCATTATCTGTTTCATCCATTCCATGTGAGCGGCCTGCATTTGGATCAAGTTGATCATCCATTCGGACTGCTTGGTAGTGGCCGTATGGATCATCTGGGAAAGGTGTAAGTTAGTTATGGCCGGCGAGGGGGGTTCGGACGACATTCCGCTTTTAACAGCTGCGATCGGTTGATTCACCGGGGGAGAGGAAGAGGAAGCAGACGGGATATCGGAAACGATCCCACTGGGAAGGTCATGGTCGGGGCGAGGATAAAACCGTTGACCGCCTGCAACCATGATCGCCATTTGGCCGTTACATCCCGTATGGTATCTGTAATGTCTTCGTCTCCCTGACTGATATATTTCTTTGTATCAGCCAGGTCCAGTTCTAATGCTTTAGAGATGATAGCCGATAACAGGTGTGTTTTCGGCGGGACCTTTTTCTGCAGTTTGCCTTTCAATGTCGGACTTCGTAGATGATCGATGAACAAATCTCGAGCAGATTTCTCGTCTCGCCCGGATTTGTCCAGCGTAGTTTGAAATCAATCGACGAAATCGGGCAACAATTCCCCTGGTCCTTGTGGCCGATTTTTTAGCACGTACCAGGTGGCATCTTCACTGACCATATCGAATCGAGCCAAAAAGGCTTGCTTGAAAGTAGCCCAATCTACCCATGTATGTTTTCTAAAACCAGTCATGCGACGTGTTGCGGAGTAGCAATGTCAAAAAGCGGGGAAGATCGGCTGCGCTGTAGTTTTGAGCTTCGACGGCTTCTAGCCAAGCCTCGGGATGGGTATGGTTAGGGAAGAAGGGGAAGGGGGTAGGGATGCTAACGATCACCCTAGTACCGTCCACCATTAGTATTGAGGGTGCAGCCGCACCAGACTGAGACCTGGTCACTGGGCGATCCCGAAACCAGAAGGGTTGCTGGCGTGGGCTCTTTGTAGCAATTATCCCGAGAGAGAGAGAGAGAGAGAGAGAGAGAGAGAGAGAGAGAGAGAGAGAGAGAGAGAGAGAGAGAGAGAGAGAGAGAGAGAGAGAGAGAGA